GAATCGGTTAAAATCCCACAATTAAACCTTTGCTCCCTCGGGTTCATCTTCCTAGGAAATCCTTCTCTTTTTAATACAAAAGCCACTAGGAAGGGTGGCACCTATAGTGTGCACCGAAGTGGGAGTAACTTTTCAGATTCACTTTTCTCCCCAGCAGGACTCAGCAAGTGGAAATTGTGGGGGGAGGTGTCTGGACGAGGAGGGGAGGGCGAACCCAAAGGAAGGAAGGTGGAGGGAAAGGCCGTCGGGGTGTAGGGGTGGATCGATCAGACAAACTGTGAGGTTGAGGAAGCTTCTCTCCCTGTCTTGTCCTTCAGGGGAATTAAAAAACAGCCCTAAGTCATTAACACATAGTCTGAATATATATACAATGTTGCCTTTCCTGGAAGCGTTTACCTTTGATAGAGTGTGACATTTCTTTCCTAATGGCAAAATGTCAGAGTCCTTGGTATCCAGGCGGAGGAAGTAAGTGGGTACGATGTCCTTCCAGTCCTTTAAATAGTGTTCCCACTAAGCGACCATGAGGCTCATGCAGGCTGTGCTCAGTGCCCGGACCTTCCCGGGAGCCCCTCAGGGTGGAGGGGCCGGCTGAGCCCTGGGAAGAGGCCCCTCGGCATTGAGGCCCGTGTCCCTCCCAAGCCCTGTGCACGTCTCCGCCTTTGAGCGAGAGGAGGAGGCATAAGGATTCTGCAGGTGGGCCTCCTTCTCTAGGGCCATGAACAGGCGAGGAGGAAGCTGCGGTTGGCAGTGGGTCAAGACTGAGGAGTCTCTTCCCAGGGGCCTAACTGCTTGGGGAAGGGGGTTAATCAACTAAAGGCTGATGTTCCGCAGACATAAGTTAAAAGAAAAAAAAAACAACTAAAGGCTGATGTTTTCTCCCCGTGCTCTGTTTACAGAGAAGCTTCAAATGGAGCTTGGTAAGTGACCCCTCTTAGAACCATCTCTTCTCACCCCCATTTTTGCATATGGTTATCTTCTCATCTCCCAAACAGGTAAGTTGCCCAGGCTGGCCCCTGCTGGCTGTGTGGGTGGCAGGAGAGAGGGGAGGGGCAGGGCTGGGTGCGAGTTGTGACGAGTTGTGACGAGTTGTGACGAGTGAGCAGGGAAGCGCAGGGCCCTGCTGTTCTAATTCCTCCTTTTCCCTTGGCTGCCTCAGACTGGAGACGGGCTGAAGGCCAGGCTGGTGAGTGAAGCCCTCTCTTTCTCTCCGTTCCTCGGGGGTCCCAGCGCCCGACCCAGCTCTTTCTGATTAACCAGCCACACTTCATTCTGGTTTCATGGCACGGCCTCGCACAGCATGTGTTAACCTACGTCACTGGGTAGAGACCAGGCTCAAGTTTCACTTTTGCATAGTCCTGAGGCCTAAGCGCCCTGCAAACCACTGGTTTCGATCCTGGCTGCACATCAGGGTCGCCTAGACCCCTGGTGCCCGCCCACAGATACTCTGACAGTGGGTGCGGTGGTCTGGTACCGTACACGTAAACATTTCTCCCCATCCCTCCCTCCATTGCATCCCTAACGTGGTGTAATGTGTATAGTTTGTACGTACCCTTGCAAGATGTGAATGTGTTCTGTGTGCCTGTATTATGCAGTTCACGTGGCGGGAGGACTAAGAGTGACCTTTATAGTCCTGCGCTGGTCCTTGCTTTCCGCGTGCGTCGCTTGCTGCAGCACCCATCTCTGCTGCCTGTGTGCATGTGGTCTGTTCCTCCTAGCCGCGCAGTGCTCCGTTTTAGTCAGCCACCCTCCTGGGTACAGGCTGCCTCTAACCCCACACCACCACAAACAACGCTGAGTGAACAGCCCCAGCGTGTCACTGTATTGCCCTCGGTGGAGATTTCTCTGGAATACGTACACAGGACAGGGACTGCCGGCCCATGGGAGGTATTTGCACTACGCGGGAGAGAGGGTCTGGAGGCAGCAGCATCCTGCCGCCCTTTGGCGCTTGTTCCATTTTATAGTGTCTGAAAGTGTAAGTTCTACTTCCCCATTCCCGCTTCCTTTTTAAAGTTAATAGACCTTTTTAAAATATAAATTTTAGGATAAATTTATGAAGCTCCTTAAATCCAAAAGAGGTTTTGCATGGGATGGCTCTGAACTTACAAATCTGAGGAGAATCAATATCTTAATAGAACTGAGTTATTCTACACAAGAGGTATATGTTTTCAAAGTTCCACTGGTTATCCCGATGCAAAACCAGGGTTGAGGATCCCTGCTATAAATTTACCTAGCCCTGGGAATGTCTTGCATTGCCTTTGCTATTTTGTGACTTGGTGAACTCTTTGTTGCAAAACAGAACAAAGTAAAACAAAACAGAAATTCACTCAGAATGGCTCGCAGTAAGAAAGGAGGCCTGCTGATGGAAGACAGGTTATCTAGACGGCATGTTGGGACAAGAGCTGTGCTCCCTGGGGCTCCTGGGGACTGAGCCTGGCCAGTGAGGGGCTGAGGCCTCATTTCCATCCCTCAGGGCATCTAGGATGCTGAACTATATTCTCTCTTTCCACAGGCTCCCTTCTCCTGCTTTTTCAACACAAAGTCAGTGTGCACATAGCTCTGGTATAACCTAGCACTGACACCAGCCCTCTACACAATCCCAGATTGTCAGGAATATACCATGGTGGACCCAGTCTGGATCCAAACCAGCTGTCACGTGGGAATGGGGTACTTCGATTTGCAGACATGCCTCACGCATCTTGAGCCTCTCTCAAGGTTCCGGAGTTACTGACTCGCATTTCTGAGCCTCTTTTCTGTCTCTGTTTGGTTTCAGAGTGGAGAGCAGCCCAAAAATACGCAGGTAACTGCAGCTGAGAAACTGATCTGTGGCTTGCATTGGCTGGATCTTAAACAGAAGGGAGGTGGAGACAACTGAGATTAGAGGGAAGGTCTTTCCAGGAGGGAAGTCTGGGGCCTGCACACACAGACACACATGCACACACGACACATGTGGCTGCATGTGCGCACATACACAGCATACATGCTTGTGTGTACACACATACCCGTGCTCCCAAACATAGCTTTCTGGGTGTTGCTGGATTTGTTTCCGTCTGGCAGGAAGGCTGCTCTTGGCCCAGTTTGCAGGAGAGAATGCAGAGTCTGCAGGGAACGGCTCAGACCTCTGACAGAAAGGATCCTCTAGGTCCCCATCTGTCACACGGGGTGTTTGGGGGGATGGGGTAGAGTGCAGGGCACTGGACCAGATGATCTCAAGGGTCCTTTTAAAATCCAAAAATTGCTGTGAAACCTAGAGCTCATCTGATATCAAGGTCACCCAGGGTGGTGGGCCAGCAGGGACTAGAACCCGCCCATAGCGCCTTCCCCTGACACGCACGCACCTGGCTCCATCAGCGAACTCACTGCATTCCTTATCGCTCAGCGTGGAACTCAGGGCCCCCCCAGTTGGGGAAGGACAGGGTCCCCTGCCTTGTCAGATCCCAGGAGTGACTCGCACCCACTTCAGTCCCCCGTGGAACTCGGGGCCCTCCCAGTTGGGGAAGGACAGGGTCCCCCTGCCTTGTCAGATCCCAGGAGTGACTCGCACCGCAAGCCACTTTCAGTCCCAGTCCCGGGGGAGGCGGTGTGGGGTGTCGGGTGTCGGGGCGGGAGGGGACAGACCCCCAGCCGCCCCTGGCAGGCCGCTACCGCGTGTGCTCTGCACGCCCGAGGGTGACCTGCGATCCCGCCTTGCGGCCGCCCCCAGCCTGGAGGTCTGGAGGACGGGCTCGAGCGTGTCCCTGGCGCGCCGGGGCGCAGGGCCGCAGAGCGGGCCCGACCACGCGGCGGCTGGCGGAGCAGGCGCGACAAAGGCGTGCGCGCTGAGCCCGCCAAGCGCTTCCCCTGGGCCGCCACTCTACACCTGGATGACAGGTGGCGCAGCGCGGCCTTGGTTCCTGCGCGCCTGCCTGGCGGGCGGCACCGCGCGGCCCGCCCCGCGCCTGAGCCCGGCCCGCGGTACTGGGTGCTGGCGCTGCGGGGCGGCGGCGAGTACCTCGCGCTGGGCGCGCGCCCCGTGCCGCTGGCGCCGCGCGTGCCGCCCCTGCGCGTGGGCGTGCTGCTGGACTGCGGCGCGGGCAGGCTGAGCCCCT